GTTCGTAGTGATCCCTAAGTCAGAGCAAGCCCTGGCTTGTCCTGTAAGAGGAGTATGATGGAAGGTAGTTCTTAATCAGATATACTCTGAAAATACAAATAGTGCATATGTGCATATATGCACTAACAGTGCACATGCATTTAAAGAAAGATAAGATGGCAGGGACTAGTAATATTTTTATTAAATAAACCTCTCTACTAATACAACATGTAAGTGTAAGTGTTTTCATAGGAAGAAGTAGTATAGTTTGCCCAGTATATATTTCAGGGGTTGGGGGGGAGGGGGGGGAGGTTAACATTCAGGAAGTGTTGAGTGAAGTCCAGTTGCACTATATTTTGTGTCACCTTCACTACTTCGTGTTCATAAATAGATATTTTGTTATCAACCGATGAGGTTGATCCGGGTTTCCCACATGGTTCTTCATTTGTCCTCCTTGCATACCGTGTGTCCAAGCACCCCCCTTTTACATCTGTGTGGCAGAAAATGGAGATTAATCTGGCCACTGGCTGCATCTAGTGCAACTCCCTGATGCTCTTATCTGTAGGGGTTTGCCTTGGGTATTCGAGGTTTCTGTTTTCAAAGTTTCAAGAACACCTTGAGAGCAGCATTTCTGTGTCTACTAGGGAATTAGACTCTTGTAGATATATCTGAAATGAGGACTATAGCACTGTGGGGATTAATTAGATGTGTTAGATACATTTGCAGTGGTTCAAAGAAGAGGCATCATATGATCTTGTTTTTACTTGGTCAGCCTTTCTCAAAGCCACTTGTACTTTTAGCAGGAAGGTGAACTTGGTGTAAGTTTCTAAGAAAGATTTCATAAAGCTAGAGTTTTGGGGTTTTTTTCCTTTAAGTCAGAGAATATGGATCATGCCAAAACCGCTATGCTTCCCTTTAGGGGCATAATTTCCAAACAGCATAATGATAATGAAAGTGGCTTACGACGCATTACGCCTATGTTATTTTGTATCATCGAGCTAGAAAAGTAGACATTTAGACCAGTTTCAGTGTGTTTTCATACAATATAGGGCTTAAACAAGCGTAATGCTTAAGCCTTGTCGACAAGGCCAACTGTAAAGAACTTTGAGGCATGAAGGGGCTAAATATGCCCCAGAATATCTTAGTGAGAGTTTGTTGATGTAACATGTATGTTGAACGAGCTGGAAGTGGGTGTAATGTGCATCAGCTTAGACTTCATTTAATCTCATTTGGGCTCTCCACTGAATTCGGTCTTGTCTCAATAAAGTACTGTGTTTGCTATGAAAGAATCAAAACAAGTCCGTGAATGAAAGAAACCCTGACCTTACTGAAATCAGAGACAAAACTCTCATTGAGAGCCAGGATTTCATCTCACATGCCTAGAATTTTTCAGAGGCATTCAAGAATATTGCAAAGCCCCTATAAGATTTCCACGTAGAAAGAGCTCCCAAGTAATGTGTATTCCTCTGCTCACAGACCTTCCTGTAAGGAATCTACCCACCTTCATAGTGAATTTGGGTCTTGGTTTTCACAGGTTCCTGCTTTCCTTCCCTGAGGCAGGTCTCTGAAATCAAATGCTTTCTGTGTGTGATAATTATTTGCAGGGGTTTGTGGATGCTCTGGAAAAATAGCTGTGCTTTGGCTGTTTCATGACTTTCAGTTTTCTGTGGGAAGAGCCACACATCTGGACAAGACGATGAATGGTATTTTGACAAAATCTGAATAGGACTTAGGGTTTCAGGTGCTGTTGAGCGCTTTTTTTCTATGTCTGTTCAAAAGTAGAGCAACTAAATTGCAAGTTGACAGAAGGCTCAGTATTGGTTGCATATGGGTTTTTTGGCCTGATTCTGTGAACTTAGCCTGTGAATCACACAGTGAGCCCGGTGGTGAACACTTCAGAAGGCAGCAGGAACCTGCATTACACTGTGCTGTGTATAGGCAAGCAATTATATTCCTGGCTGCTAGGGGAGTGTACTTAACAAATCGAGCTATAGAAATTGGGAACTACCTGATGGAGCAAACAGAATGAAAGAAAAAAAGCCTCTGAATTTCACTTCTGAGGCTGCTGTGCTCAAGTGATTGATTTTTATCAATTACTCCATTATCTCTTTAACATCCCTCACCTACCTACACACAGACACATTCAACTTCATGCCAGGGGTGTGGGAACTAGCGTTTCCCACAGTGTTGGTGAACTGGAGTGCTCCTGTTGCTTTGTGGAGTTAAGGCTAGTTATGGCATATCTGAGACAGTAAGAGAGACTTTCCTGTGCAGGCACAGCAAGGAACCCAAATTCAGAGCATGCACAGCCCTTACTTTTATGAAAAGCTGCAAGCAGGCCAGCCATGGGGCCCTGGGAGGCAGGTACAGGCAGGCTAGCAGCTCTGCTCTCCTGTGTGCCTAGGCACGTTCCACAGATGTTGGCACTGCTTTCATAAATTGTGGGTGATTTTACAGCAGCGTCTGAAGCACTTAAGCCTCGTTATTAGAGTGGGCTCCTCAGGGATGATCTAATGAGAATCTAAGTAGATGTACCATTCGTTTCTGCGGTGGTTGGAGGTAATGAGACTGCCATCCTAGAAAGCGTAAAGGAGAGTCATTTGTCAGTACTAGTAGGAGTAATTACGAAGAGAGAGGCTGCGCAGGAACCCCAGGAAATACAAGCCGACAGAGACCTCTCTAAAGCAACACATGCAGGATGATACCACGCTAATTGTCTGCCTCGTAGTGTAGGCATTATACAACATTGCTGGTTTTCTAGAAACAAATTATCTGTGTACCAGATACAGGATTAGCTAGCATACATTTATGGGTGTGAGTGTACTTAGTTGTGTCTAGTTGAGATAAAGAGGTGGGTGTAAGAAGAGTTTCTTCCCTGTATTTGTAGTGTTGGTGATAGAGGCATTGTAAATTGAAGATGCCCGCATTTTGACTATCAATTTCCAACAGATTAAATGTACTTGTGACTCTTCTGTTATAACAGTCCCCAGGTCAATAAATCCATTTTGATTCTTCTCTTTCATTGAATATACTAATTGCCAATGGAGGCAGAAAGGCAGAATGACATGTCTCTATAAAGGTTATAAATTTTAGAATTAATTATGTCTTGTGGCCATCTCAATACTGATGGTTTTTTCCCTGTAAAACAATGATTTCACTGAAAAGTAACTCATAATTTCTCAAGAGAAACAAAAGACATGAGTAAAATCAGCTCACCATCATGGTATTTCAAAGAAGAACACAACATTGAAATTGCCAAGTAAAGGACCATAGATTGAGATATGACCATGTTATTTTAAATAATCGTTCATACTGCTTTTCAGAGTTAGTAAACCTAGCACTTACTGTTACCTGGCCAGAAGCTCAGCAGCGCTGCACCCAAAATAGAAAACCACAATCAACTCCTGTGGTTGAAAGAACATCATGTTTGGGGGATGTCATGTACATTAACTCATTCAGGGCTGAAATAGCCAAGTGGTAAATACAGAATTTTGCAAATGCATTCTTCCGGACAAATTTTATACAGCCAAGACCCCTGAACTGTGCACGTAATTTTTAAAACATGTATGTGCAGATGGATTAACTCGTATACTGGCAGAGGCCTCTATGGCACATCTCTCTCAGCGAGGTTTGTAAAGAGCATTTTTTTTTCCTCCCTTCTGGTGCCTTTTAGATTGGCAGATGACCGTTCAAGTAAAAGAGGAATTTTTGTGTAAAGAAAACTTCCTTCTCCCCTCCCCCAAATACACAAGTAAGAAGTGCGCTGAGTCCAAGGTTTTGGGTCCTCTAACAGGACAGAGGAAACCTGTAGCTGAAAGGAAGCCTGCAGTTTCTTGTTTGTTGTATTTATAGCCCTCCTGTACTTGTCCCCTCAACCCTTTTTTTTCTTGCATTGTTAATCAGCTTTTCTAGGTTTTTTTTAAGCCCTTGTGCATACCTGAAAAATGGAAGGGGCTTGATGCTCCCCTACTTTTCACCATTGTGGTCACTCGCACCCATGTAAAATAAGCACCCATGTGGACAGTTTTTCGCTTGTGCAAGCTTATACTAGTGTGAAGAATGGCACGAAGTAAAAGGCAGCAACATTCTTTTATGGTACACACACAGTCATGTACTTGGATATCTGGCTGTTAAGTCTTGATGCTTGGGGATCAACCAGCATTGTTCTGCAACAGCCCTCTTGCCCTGACAGACACGGGAACTTCCAGGGCCATTAGACTGCTGTGGTGGATTGCTAGGAGGCAAAGAAATAGTCCTGGTAAGAGTAATCCTACAAATCCAACAAACCATGTGTGCAAAATGGAATTTAAGTTTTTAGACATTAGATTCAGATCTGCTAAATCAGCAGTGATTTATTAGTGAAGTATTGTCGCTAGAGCCAAATTTGGCATTGACAGAGATTTGGGGTGGAATTGATGATATAGGCTCAGCCACCAGATGGGCTGCATTGCTTTACGCATTATTTTGCTATATCAAAAATGTCCTACCAGTTACGCCTTTTGGTATGGGCCAAGTGACCCAACAGCTATTTTCCAATGCTAGCTTCTGTATGCTTTTGGTTTAGGGAACTGTAGTGACTGCCAGCATCTGCTTCTATCTGCTTGGGAGTTGTTTTCGTTTTGTGGGTTTGCATATCAACTACTATGCCTGTCACTTTTAATTCCAAATACTCTGTACTAAATCATTGCCAAGTAACTTTCCATTCTTCTTTTCCATGCTGCCCATCTAACCACCAGCTGTGAGCACAGAGCTCCTGCCTGCATGCCGTCAGAATGACTCTGAGCTGCTCAAACCTCAACTCCAGCCTGAACATGAATTTTTGTCTCTGCAGGAATATCAGGAAAAAAAAAAAATCACCAGGGCTACCAGTTCTTGTTATTGTTTGTATTTATATTTTTGGTTCAACTTCTTTTCTCCCTGGAGGTTTTGATTCCACCGATTTTGTTTGGGTTTGATTGGGCTTGTTTTTTTTTTATTGCTCTTCCTTTTCTCATTTTGTTTTCTCCATTCTTTCATTGGAGGCAATGAGCCGTCCAGCGGTCGGAACTCCCCTGTCCCCTATCGGCCCGACAGCCGCCCTCTCACTCCAACTTACGCTCAGGCCCCTAAACATTTCCATGTTCCAGGTAGGAGCTGGCACTCTGTGTGTCTCGGTGTCCTGTCACAGTGTAGAATGTAGCCTTTGTAACTTTTGTCTTGTCTCCATCGTTTCATGCTGTTTACCATGAGGTGCGCCCACCGGGTTTGGAACTGCTCCTAGGCTTGCTGAGAGGGGTAGTGCGTTAAGAAATGAAGGGGGAGTTTCACTGCGATTTTTACCTGTTCTGTTGGTCAGGTATTTCACTGTTAGAATGCCTTGGTTTTCAGGGTCTGTTGATGGCTATGAGCTGGATATGAGCTATGTAGGGCTTGATTTTTCTCACAGTTGCACCAGCTGAGCACCAGCATAACTGCTAACTTTGGAGGGGTTGGGTTTGATTCACAGTGGCATGCAAAAAAGAGTTGACTGGTGAGCCATTACGTATGTTGTTCATTCAGATCGCTGTGACTTGTTTCAGTCTTGAACCAAGCCGTTCTAGTTTAGTGTTCCCTATTTTTTTAAAGCAGAGGAGGATGTTCCTTTACTTGTTTTGTGCAATGGCTTGGTGTCCTTAGAGAGACCTGCAGATCCACAAGGTTATTTGTGCCTCAGGATGTCCCCTCTACAAATGGCAATCTCTGTTATAAAGTGAGATGCACAGTTCTTCCAGCCTCAGAGAAGCTCATCTGTCTTGGATTTTGATGAGGTGAAGGTGGTGTGTCCCTAGCGTTGTTGACATGCATCTTCTGACTGCACCAGTGATAGCTGAAGACCTTATTATATCCAGTTATTCTTCAGGTCCCCTTCAGTCGAGTATCCCTTCGCACTGCCAGAGGTTACTGCTCTTCCTCCTTTCCTCAGATCTGGCAGATAAACTGTTTGTGGGAACTTCTTTTTCAGTCAGTGTGACCTGGCTTGACTAAGGTAGGCTGTTTTAACTGCTTAAGCTAACCTGGTTCACTTTGACTTGCGTAAGCTAAAGCATGCTTACATGAATAGCTCTGAGAGTGATGATTTCTAGCATGGTGGGAGAGCTGTCCTCTTCAGGTGGCACAGTGCAGCCACAGAAGGAGCTGTGTTCTCTCCTCCTTAGAGCCTTCTGGTATAGATGTGCGCAAAAGTACTGCATGACTACCCTTTTATACCTACTTGCTGGTCAAGTAGCCGTAACAGATCACTAACGAGGATGAAATACCTCAGTGTCGTTGTGTGCAATGAATTTGCCTGTTTAGTCAAGGATGTAGGGTTCTGCAGAGTAAGATTTGCCTCTGTTTCAACAGATTTTTAGGGTTAGCTTTCCTTAATGTCAAGGGCTAAGTTGTCTCCTGTAGCCCTTTAATTGGATCTGTGACACACAGCATGTATTTCTAAAATGCTTTTTCATCTTTCATTCTAATGTAACCGAAAACTTTTTCCAGGCAGTATGAAAGTAGCAAAATGGGTTTCTGACATCAATTTCCTAGTTCCCAATAGCTCATTTTGGTCTTCTAATAAAATTTTGACAGATTTTTGCACTGCAACACTGATTTTGGATTAACTTTTGTATTTGTAGTTGTGCCAAATACATGAAGTGTTGGCTTGGGTGGGAAGGTAGTTTAGAACAAACTGGTTCCTGTCTGAGATTCTAATTTGTAAAAATACAGTATCTTTTAGACATGCCATAGATTTACTGCACTGGAGTTCTGGGAAGTGGTTTTATTCTGGTTTACATTGATAATGTGCAATGTGGTGGGCCTTACATAAAAAAAAAATTACAAAAAAGAAATAAAATCTATCCTTGTGGTTTCAGAATTAGTAGTGTATCAGTTAACACTGCCTAAAGCATCCCTTTGACTCACTGAAGTGTAGCTGCTGTTGACTGTTCAAAACAGTGTGTTAGGCAGCTGGATTTTGAAGTGAGTTGTAGGCTCACTGCATTCTCCTCTGCTCAATCCAGCCAGTCAGTTGGAAAGAAAATTGAGCTGTTATGACTGAAGCACAATTTTCCACAAAAGTTGTTTGTGGTAGTTTTCCCCAAATGACTTGTATCTCCACCATTGAAATGTCTTGCTTGTTTGCATTTCTTCTGTAACTTTTTTCCCACTGATAATCTTCTGAATGTTTAAAACGAATGGTTCATGACTTGGATGCATCCACATGTTACAGAATCAGCTCCAAAGGACTTCATACCACATGTCTTTGACTTTTCACTTGTTTTTATGTTTTCTTTTCTTTTAAATAATCTGAAAAAATACCTTTCTGACTTTTTCTTGTGCTACATCCTTGATTGGTCTGTCTGTTGTTTTAGTGTTGGATTTATCTTTACAGCTGAAGTAGTTTTCATATTCCCATTTTTCTCTTTCTCAATTTCACAGATCAAGGTGTCAACATTTACAGAAAACCACCAATCTACAAACAACATGGTAAATGATCTTTCCGTTTTTATTTCAAAACTGGAGTGTCAACTAAACTAAAAAGCATGCAGACTAGTGCAAAGCACTCAGTGTTTACTTTGTAAGCATTAAAAATTGGGAGTCCAAGCTTAAAACAGCTGTTATTGCATGTCCTGCTGAGGGATTATGTTTTAAAGCATGTTGTTTCATTTGGATCATATGGTTTAAATCTTGGCCACATTGTTATTAATGGCAAAATTGTCATTAACTGGGATTCTGCTGTCTCTTTAGCATTATGATGCCTTCCTGTATTTCACTTCTTTAAGTTTATATTTTCAGAATACAGGTACTGACCATGTTAAAATAGATTAACAATAGACAGTTCTGACAGGGACTTCATGGAATATCCGTATTTTAAACAGAGGAAGTACAATAATTTATTTCAACAGCAAAGATGGAGTTGTTATCATCAGGCTGGAATTCCAAATGTACCTGTGGCTTTAAATAAGAATCTTTAATTACTGAAGATAATATAGGTGACTTATCACTGACAGGGCTAATTTGGTTCTCAAGCCCTGCGATATAGCTCAGGTAGTACGCTGTACTTGTTTTTCCAAGTGTTTGGGTTCTGAGCTGGACAACAATGTTAGTGCTCCAATCTCTTCAGTGCAGATGTTATAGCAAGTCTGAAATAACAGTGATGGCAGAAGCCCACTGCATTGCCAGTCTTTAGTACTGTGGAGAAAGCTCCTGGTTACAACAGAGTGTGTTCACTCTTCCCTTCTGCTGTGAATAAAAATCTCAATAGGAGGTGATTTTTACATAATGTGGTGAAAGATGGGCGACTCCGCTTTTTAAAGATTTTGCGTTTGCATCCCTTTGCAGACCCTTTATCCAATGAAATATATTTAGGGTTAAGTAGCAAATGAGCAGTACTCCATGGGGTTTAGAAGAACAGTTGGCTGAGATGATTAGGAAAAGCCAGGGAAGTCTGTTATGTAGTCAGGAGTGAGCATTGCAAATAACACTGCTGTGGTTTTACATCAGGTTTTTTTTCTCTTTCTTTTTTAAGTTTCAAACCATATGCTCATTTTGGAAAGAGTCTTAACATGATTTTTGTTTATTTTTATGGTTTTAATGTATCTCCTCACCTCCCATTAACATGTGAATGTTTAACCACTGACATCACCAATTCTACGTAAGTACTGTTTGAAGTCATGCTTTTGTAAACTCTGACCAGCTTCCTCCTTACCTGCAATTATGCTTAGAGTCTCCCAATTGTAAAATGCTCAGATTTCCCAATGTTACCTAATATTGATGTTCCTAAACTACCCTGAACATGTTGGATGAGCAACACAACGCTTCACTTTGTTAACAGATGTCCTTCCGTTTTAAAAAAAAAAGAGAGAGAAAGGGAAAAAAAAAAAGTCCAGAATTCTTGTTTCTGATACGATAGCTTCATATAAGAGAAGGTGGTTTGAGATAACAGTTTGCAGACAAGAGGTAGTTAAGGCTGGTTTTAATGTAAACTGAATCCTATTGGTTTGAGGTTTTTTTAATGTCAAGAAGTGAAAGCCATAATGCACATCCTCACATGCTTTTAAGAGACTTTGGCTTAGACTGGAGTCTTAAGTGGATGCCCCACTAATGAGATTTTATTGGTGAGGTTCATTTCATTGCAAGTGCTTTTCCCTGCCAAGTTGATCTGAATGAAGTTTAGTATTTATTAATAAATTAACATCTGCTTTTACTACTTCTGCATGCTAATAATCAAGGGCATGCAGCAGAAAAAGTCCACTGGTTAAATAAACATACTTGTTTCAGATTTCTTTTTTATTTTGCAGCTTTTCACAGAAACGTAGGAAATAAATAGCATCAGTAGAGTTAAAATTAATGCTGTTCCTCTGAACTATTTTTTTTCTTTCTAGAGGGAAAACAGATCAGTGCATGAATCTGATTTCATCTTCATTAATAATCAGCTGTTCTTAGGAGATACTGGCAAATACTGTTAGAGTGAATTTTCCTACTCTTGCCTAATCATTCTAACACCCTGCAACCCTAGTAAAATCCCAAGCTGATTTGGGGTTATTTTGGGGGTGGAGATGAGGGAGGAGAGTAAGGTTTGATTCCAGTATATTTGGCAAGAGAAAGACATTACTTTGCTTCAAATTGCAATTAGAAAAGCAAACCATGAAAATGTTTGCTTTTGAAAATGAACTTCTTGTAAAGTATAAAATGTTGCCAAAATAAGGAAGACCTTTATATTGATACAGATTATTACATAGCTAAGTTCCCTGATTGCCATCTAGATGCAGCTGCTTTGGCAGCACAGAGCAAGTCCTCCGAGGATATCATCAAGTCCTCCAAGTTCCCAGCAGCTCATGCACCAGCACCCAACGAGATACCAAAGATTGAGACGGACCACTGGCCAGGTCCTCCCTCCCTTGCAGCCATAGGTATGCAAAAAAAAAAAAAAAAGATACAACTGACGCGGCTTAAAAGGTACTGGTAACCAAAGTAGGTTAATACTGGAGCTGTAAAAATGGGTAGTGAAGATTGTGTCCACTCCAGGTGTTCACCAAAGTGCCGTTCTTCTGGTGAGACCTCTGAGTGTCTGTGAATTTAAAACTATTGACTAGTGCTGAGTAGAAGGGGTTTTGCTAAAGGACTTTGGAACTGATCACACAGATATTAGCCCATAGAGAAATTATGTGAACTCCCACACAGTAGCTGAAAAAATGTGGTGTGTCACACAAGCCTGACTTCTTTCAGTTATTGTCTATTTAATCTTTTATTCCTAAGCTAATAGCAAATATTCCACAGAAAATATGATTGCTTCCAAACATGTGACTATTGTCATGGCAAGAAGCAATGATTGAAGTGGAACAGTTAGCAGACTAAAAAAGTCCTGATTTTCAGTTACTGTTTCTACAGACTTTGTATTTTTCTTCCATGTTGTTGCACTACTACAGGTATCTCATTTTCTTTTCTTTAAATCATGTCTGTGATCATTTTTAATTTTTTTTGTTTTGTATTTTTTTCCTTTGCTAATTTTTATTTACCTCCATAGCATAAAATAAGCTATTTAGCCTGGTTCATTTATGAAGTCACGTCTGAAACACTGAAGGTTTCTGTGAAGGAGTGTATGGTTTTCAGTGCAATGGGGTGTTCACAGAAGTGCTGGGAGAGGAGACACAGGGTGGGAGAGCTCAGTGACTGGTTGAAGGGGCTGCATATGCTGCAGCAGCAATTTTTTGAAAACGTCCTTTATGTAGGATTGCAACCTGAAAAACATTACAGTCACAGTGATAACATCAACATACTTGAAACTCTCCTGACAATGCATGTGATAACTACAGCATCATTATGCCATATGTCTGAAGTGGAGCTTTTGTTGGAAATTTTGGCTCTCAGCTCAGTCTCTAGGCAGTGGATGACAACTTTTAATGGTTTCCAGTAAAACTGTTTTGTGTATTGGCTATCAGGTGATTTTCTTACACCTTAGAAACTAAACAGGACTGTTTGGAAACTATAAAGATAAAAATGCACTCATGGATGTATTTTATTCAGAACTAAAAAGGCATCACACAATATTAATCACTAAAAAACAAACCCAGAAGCCCCAGGTTTTTCAGCTGCTTGTCTGATTTTCCAAGTGTGGTATTTTGCTTACAGAGCTAGAATGAGCTCAGCTGTCAAAAAGATGAGTATTACTGCAATTGTACTGAAAAGACTTGCAAAAGCCTGAAGCACCAAACAAAATAATAAATAATTTAAATACAAACAAATAATTTCTCCATAACTTTTTGCCTCACTCCATATTAGCATTAATTTAACGCTGTTGTACAAAACATTTAATTGATATAAACCTTCTGATACTCTGCTTGCAAAATTTATTCTCCATTCAGATAAAACACTGAGTTTGTCTAGCATAAGATTGGTGAATAACTATATCAGGATATAGCCTGTGCAGAAAAAAATACAACTGCTGTCTAAATGCTTGCAGCAATATCATATCCTGTGTATTCATAGAAGTGTCCTGATGTCCTAAATGGGACCATTTCTTAAGACTATTCAAGAAAATAAAGATTATTCAATAAAAAGTAAGAAACTAATGTAGAACACAGATTAGTTTGCTTCATTTTAGACTAAATATAATGCCTTGTTAATTCCAAATATGAGTGTCCATTTAGGAGATTAATGTAGTTTAATTTGCCATTTGAAGCGTTAATTCAGATTCGCTTTTCTGAGTCTAGATAAAAGTATAAGTGTAAACCAGATTTTCTGTTTTCAACCATGGGTACAGTTACTGGTGCCATTAAACCCAATGTTTCCAGAACTACCTATCTGAGCTCCTTTCTTCTATTACATTGATTCATGGCTTTTGTATCTAGGACTGTTGCTTGGTTGGGAATCCATGTGCAGTTTAACTTCTTGTTAATTTTATAAGAAGCCTGAGAGCTGTGGGGCAGGCTCTCTGAGTGAGTTTTATTGAGGGTGATTTTTGAAAAAGTCTTTTGAGTCTGCAAGAAAATATTGCTTTGTTTATTCAGTAAATCAAACTATCCAGTACTTTCTAGCATTGAAATCTTCAAAGTGTGGTTGAACTGATACACAGAGCGCTCTCTGCTGTGGTTTTATGGAAGCAGGAGCTGACATGAGACGCAGATCAAGTGGAAGAGAGGAAGATGATGAGGAGTTACAGAGACGCCGGCAACTGCAGGAGGAGCAGCTCATGAAGGTGGTTATAAGCTTGTGTTCATGCTGTTTCTGAACACCATCCAAAAAACGCCCCTTTGCTTTCTGTAAACAATTTCTACTAACGCCTCCGTCAGCTTTATTTTATTGATGTATTTTTTTAATTGCCATTTATAGCTCAACTCTGGTCTGGGACAATTGATATTGAAAGAAGAGATGGAAAAGGAGAGTCGCGATAGGTCAGCCCTTTCTGCCAGTCGTTACGATTCTCCAGGTAATTCATGTGGGCAATAAAGCAAATAATGAACAGTGAATAATGAACACCACATAGACACATATCAAGCAGTCTCCCAGAAGAGAGACCACTGGGAAGACCACTTGCTATGTGTATATGTGGTGTTCCCCCCTGGAAGGATGGCCTAATTCATTAGCTGGTTTTGATGAGAGGAGAAGTATTGTAGTTGTTTTTTCATTAGAAGAAATACGAAGTTGAGGATATTGGGGCAATTGTCAGGAGAGAGATTTTCTAAAGAGTGAGGTAAAATATTCAGTGACTATTACATCACACATATGCTAATGAGCTGTGTTATTAAATTATAATAAGACATTTTACTTAAATTGGTGGTTCCTATCACTGTTTAGCCTCTCCTCCCAGGGACGGAAAATCAGTAACATTTATCAGTGGGGCTGCATATTCCAAACACAGCCAGCGTTTTCACCTTGGCTGACATTTTGACTGGGACTATTCTGTTCCAGAGCAAAAGCACAAAAGTCAACTTTGGTCAATTGGTGGCTTATATTCTTGGCCTCATTGCACATTTTGATATACATCTGTGGCCGCCTCAGATCTCCAGAGAAGGGTTTGGGGTTTTATTTCACTCTTCATCTACCGGTCATTGTAGCACAGCAGCTGTACTTTGAGCCAGGAAGGGGCAAGACGAGTCTCTTTGGAGTCATCCACTGGAGTAACTGCCAAGCAGACTAAGATTTGCTTGTGTTCCCTGTTGTATAAGTGTGTTGCCTCTATTTATGGTCTTGGAGAGAATGTATGTGGGCTCTCCCTCACTACCTGTAATGTTTACAGGGCCAGGGTCTACCTGCTCAACACAAAGCTTATGATTTTTTTTATTTACCTTAGCAGAGGTTGGGGGGCTCCTTTATTGGAGATGTATCCATCCCTCTCTGCAGTGGTAATCAGTGCAGTCATCAGTTGCCTTTTGTGGAATCAGTGATACCTTTCCCCAAGCTGCTTCTTGCTGGCAACAACAGTGCCTCATGTTCTACATTCCCTGCCCTTCTGTGGTAAAAATAACATTTAAAAAAAAAACCCAAATCACATTCTTAATGGAGTACCTTGTCTGAAGGGGCTGTATTAACTGCAGAGGTGCTGTTGATCATTATGCTGACAATCTTTCTATTTATCCATCTTTTTATCTTTTTTTGAAAACACACCCTTGACATTTCCACATTGTCTTTTATCTTGCTAATGCCGTTTTTGAGGTCAGTGCAAAGGCTAAATTGAATGCTCCCAGATCTCTTATTTCAATTTCATTTCAGTTGAAAGCAGGAGTCACGGAGGTCTGTTGAATCATGTCATGTTTTCAGAAGTGTCACATCATGTACAGGATAACTACATTTCAGATCAGAATGCCAAATTCTCAAACTTGTTTGAATTCACTCAGCACTGCCTATTCTAATCTTTCTCCTGGTGAAGTCCGTACCAAAACACCTGACAATTACAGTGTTAACAGGACCAAAACTAACAGCATTTTGTCTTTTGTAGCAAAAATTGGCAAGCTGAAGCATGTGAATACAGAGAGAGTGGAGTGTATCTTGGCTTGTGCAGCAGCAGAAGCTGGGAGCATAAGTGCAATAACAGTTGCAGTAGGAAGGATAGAAAGGAAATTCATTAAAGGTTCAGAGGGTATGATGATATATAAACCATGTGTGCCACCTAGGAGAGTGGAAATGAATGGACCTGCATAGGAGACTTAACAGGGAACCTATCCAGTCAAACACTGCCCATCTTGGATTCTCCTTATCCTTTATCTTGGTCCCATCATAAGGTGCACAGCAATACTTTAGCTAAGGACTAAAAAGTTATTTTGCTCTGTTGCCTGATCCTTGAGTGTTACCTTCAACTCAGTGGAGACCACTTTGATTTTGAGCCTGGTACAATCAGTGTCCCTTGTTGATGACCTGCAACCATGGCATGATAAAGCTGCATGTAAGAATGCATGGAGGGTTGTGATGAGTCTGGGGCTGAGGTGTTAGTTTCCTGAAGTCAGTGTGTCTCAGTTGGTTATGTGTATGCTTAGCTCTTTTAACTGTGTTTTTTCTGCTAGTTGATTCCTCAAATGTTCTTGGTTTTGAGCTTCCATGGGATTTTTCCAGTAAAAGATTTTTCCCTTCCTCATTCAACAGCACATGCTTCAGCCTCCAAAACCTCTTCTCTCCCTGGCTATGGAAAAAATGGACTTCACAGGGTAAGGAAATGGTCATTTTGAGAAGCGAAAGGTGGCTTTAATTATCCATGGTATTTATTTTCATATTAACTGTATTTGATTTTCAGTTTGATCAAGCTTTCTTATAAGTCCACCTGAAGTCAGACAAAACCTAGTTTCCTTTTCCACAAAATACATTGTTAAAAAGGCAAGAAAGCAATGCAAGAAACATTGTGAAAATTGAGGGGGGAAAAAGGCTTAAAGCATTTTATTACTCCCCATATACCAAACTGCTTGTGAAGTCGTGAACTGTGAATTTATGTGCACGTCCCTCTTTTCCTGTTACAGCCGGTGTCTACAGATTTTGGTCAGTACAACAGTTATGGGGATGTGAGTGGTGGTGTTAGAGGTAAGGCTGAGGAGCCTTTTTACATGCCATTTCATTACTGAACATGTTACAATGTTTGATCATTTCTGCTGTTTTATTTTAAGGTTGTGGATGTGGTTACTTTTTATTTGCTCAGTACATTTTAACTTCCTTAGGTAAACTCAAAAATTAACTCAAACTCTGCAAATGCCTATTTAAAAGTTTGGTTTTATTTTGCTAAATCTGCTATGTGGAGCTGATCCCTGTTTATGCCAAGGGAGCGCTTCAGCATTGGTGCAAATGGAAAGCAGGTAATGTGTATATTATTAGGAATATGTACTGAGTTCCGTTACAGTGTTTTCTTTCTCTGAAAATCACCATCCACTGTACAGTCTAAAAGAATGTGCCATGGTGAAGAAAGGAGGATAATACCTTCTAATCCCCATTGCTGCTTATGATTTTCATTATGACTTTGAGCTAGATGTGATATCAGTCATTGCCCAATAAAAATTGATAATATTTATGAAAGTTGTGAAACTTTGAGTGTTACTTTTTTGAAATGGTTTGAGCTGAGAGAGAGAGGCTAGTTATCTCCAAAGTGAGATTGATCCTGACTACCTTAGATAATCTAGTCAGGTGTCTTCTGTTGGTGCTTGTGTCTGTTTATAGACTGTGGAGGAATCTAGACAGCTACCTGATGGCAGAGGTTAGGTGAGGTTGAATCCTGCTCTACACATTTGAATTTTAGTTGGTTATTTATTCACTTGTTTGTGGTTTTGTGTCTCTTAATACTTCCAAAGTGACTTGATTTTCCTGAATGAGAAGCATGCTCAAAATTAAAAGGGCTGCAATGTTTGGAGTGTTTGACTCTTTACAAACTAAGTCCAAAAGTAGGAAGATTGCTGGCCTTAGAGAATCAGGTGGGATTTTTTAAAAGATCAGGTAGACCAGAAGACACAAGGATTATCTGGTAGATTGTGACTGATTCCTGTACTTCCACATTCCGAAGCTGATGAGATTTCTCTTTTGCTTTTCAGATTTCCAGGTAGAGTACGGGTTTTCGTCAATCAACTGACAACAGAACTAAAAGCATCTACTTTCTTGTTGAAGTTTGAATTTCTGCTACAGGGAAGGGTTTCTTAAGACAATAGCTTTGATTTTCCTGCATGTTTAAGCATAAACACCAATGTGTAGACTCTTATCAACAAAAACCAGGCACAGCCTCTGATTCCTCCTTGTTACCTCCCCAGAGCTGGGTTGAGACAGCTCACACCAGTTCTGTGACTTGCTCTGTAAAATCCACTGTCTGTTGATATATGAGTTAACTGTAATAGTCCTCCCTGGACAGCTGACGGTGGATTTATTTCCAGCCTCTCTAGTACCCCAGAGACATATAGAAGGTCTCTTCTGGAGGCAATTTTCTTCCATACCGGGAGCCTTGAACTCCTCATTTTTACCTTGGAATTTGCTCTCCAGACAAAATGGCTGATCAATAGTTTACTACAGTGCCACCATCACAGATGAGCCAGTTAGAGGTGTGCTTGCAAATAGAAACCTTTTTACTCTAAATCCTGTCTGCAGGGTTTTTTCCAGAATTGTTTGAGTCTGGCTGGCTCCTCAGCGTAATCACAATATGAAATGGCAATTTAGGAAAGGGTTTAATTATTTCGATAACTTTATTAATGGTGTATCAAAATTATGATGACTGGAAGAGAATAAGATCATGGGAGGAGAGAAGAGTTGTCCATGTATTGTGCTCAAAACGTTATTTCATTAGGAGCAGTACCTGTGTCAAAACAGCACCTTTTTACCCTATCCCTGTTTGTGTTCATAGTAAAAATTTCCCATTGTAGAGGCAAAAAAACCCTCAGCTGATACAGTAAGTGACAGGAAGGACAGTCCCGAGGTGTAAGAGTGCTTTGTATGCTGTTGGGTGGGATCTAAATTAATGCTTCTGCATATTTGTCCAGAGAAGAACCTTACTTAGTCACCGGGGTGGGAAAGGGCCCACCACTCTCTTGGGGTCCCCAGGTCCACCTGGGAAATCCTGCTGGTAGGCTCAGTGGGGAGCTGTTAGCAGCGACAGAAGGCTGTGGTGGCAGAGAGGATTGAAGGATCCCTCTGCATGCCTCAGAGAAGTGGTTAACAGTAGCCATGGCAATGATCTATATGATAAGACTAAATATTAAGACTTGAAGGAAGTCTCAGGGCAAATTCACCTGTGTTTTCACCACTACTTGAGTGCCTTTACCCTCTGTGTGTGTAACCTATGTGTCTGATGTATACCTGTATCTGATGCAGTCCCTTCCGGATGGTCATGTCCCTGGAATGAGAATGGACAGAGGAGTATCTATGCCTAACATGTTGGAGCCAAAGGCAAGTGCAGATGTTATTCACTTAACTTCAAGGCAGTGAAGATTTGACTGTGAAATGCAGATAAAATACGGGAAATGTCTTAGTTCCTTTGTTTTTCTTTACCTCACCTCAGTCCCTGCTCCTTATGTGCTAAACCTCTTCCTTTGTTCTGGGCTTTGCCTGTTACAGGTGTTAGTACTCAGGCAGGCTGAGGGCAGCCCAGGTGTGCTGCTTGGGTTAAGGAGGCTTTTCCAGAGACAAAACAAAGATACTGAAGATGCTCAATAGCTAGATCTCTGTCAAGCTTCTGCTAGCCAAAACAGCAGGCCAAACTCCATGGGAAAGTCTCAGATCTGTCAGGTTGGAAAAGTGATGCAGAATATTGTGGCTCACAACACACTGTTGAGGCTGTCCTAATTTAAAAATAAATGAAACACATGGATCTTTGTTTCAAATTGGAAGTTAGATACCTACATGTCTGTCTGGATCTATTCTTTAGGTCTCAGCACTGTTAGCCTGACACCTTTCAGTAATGTTGAATTCCCGATAAAAGAAATTCTTCAGGATATTTACTGGAAAAAAAGGCAGTGTAAGCTGAATATAATTTAAGATATAAATTAAAATGCTTTTGCAGCTGTGTCTAGAGATGTCTGAGTCAAAAATGAGCATCATATATAGAGGGGATTCGGCCACGGCTGTGTTTTAAATCTTACAACTTTCTCTATTGCTGGTGAACCTTCCGAGAAATCATGGTTTTGCTGAAGTTACAA